GGGCCTTCGAAGGAAAAGGAGGAGGAGGCGGAGGAGGAGGCGGAGGAGGAGGGGGAGGCGGAGGAGGAGGAGGAGGAGGAGGAGGAGGAGGAGGAGGAGGAGGAGGAGGAGGAGGAGGAGGAGGAGGAGGAGGAGGAGGAGGGGGAGGCGGAGGCGGAGGCGGAGCCCCACGAGGGGCGCCCGCCCTGCAGAGCAGAGAGCCGCCAGAAGCACGCGGAGGCCCCCCCTCAATAATTGGGGTGCGAGTCGATGGGGCCGCAAGATCGCGCCGCGCCGCTGCTGCATCGGCGATCCCCGACCCCGTCTACCCGGGCCCCGTTTGTGAGGGCTGGAAGAAGAGATGTTGCCTTTTTGACAGAAGGGAAGAAAAGAAAGAAGACTGGCGGGCTCACACCCCTCCCCCTCCCCCTCTCTGCCTCCCCCCTCCTTACCCCGGCGCTTCTCGGCTCCTCTGGCCTCCGCGGGGCTCAGCCTCGTCGACTCGCGGCTGGGCGCGGCCTGTCGCAAAAGACCAGCGAGGGTGCGCCCCAGGAGGGCTCCGGGGACCCGCTTGGAGCGGATTTTGGTCGGGGGCCTCAGCAGGGGTCGGAGGCCTCCGAGAAGGCTCCTCGGAAGGCGGCAGGACTGAAGCCCCCTGCCTGCTCAGCAAGCCGCCTCCAGCGCCGAAAGGCACCTGGGAGGCGCCTCGGCGCTCCCTCGCCCCGCCTCCCCTGGGCGGCGCGCGCAAGGGGGCAGGGGGAGGGGGGAATCCTCCTTGGAAGGGGGCTGCTTCTTAGAAGCCTTCCCCTCTCCCCCCACCCCCCTCTGCGCGTGGCCGACCCCCTCCGCGGCGGCGAGGAGAGGAGAGGAGGGAGGACGGCGGGAGGGGAGGGACGGATGGGAGCGAAGGTTTTCGCATCACCCCCACAACGAGCCTGGCGGGTGAATGCGGCGGGCTCGTGCGGCGTCGGCGCGCGCAAAGGCTTAGGGACACCGCGTTGATCCTTCAACCTTGAATCGATCGCGGCCCCGATCGTTCAATATTGAAGTCAGTCCGGTCCAGTGGCGTTACCGTGTCCACTGGTGCTTCCGCGTCGCAAATTTCAACCTTGAACGCATTCGCAGGCGTCGCCAGCGCGCCAACACCGCACGAACCTACCGTAGGCGCAAGTGCGTGCGTAGTGCTACAAAGCAGGCCATGGCTTACGTCTCCGTCCGACAGCGCAGGTGGAGCTGTGCGTCGGGAGTCCTTTCGGGCTCAGTCATCTCGTCGCCAAGCCAGTCTCGTAGTGCCCATCGAGGCCTCGTAATCGGGCTGCACGACGTGCAGTTTCGCGCAGCCGCAACGTTGGTCCACCGTCAAAGCGAGAAGCACGCAATCGCAAGGGCTCCGCTCCCCCCCGAACTCAAGAGCTTGTTTTGCTACCGCGGCCTCGGCCAAAGCCGGTTGAGCCTTTCGAGCGCTTCCCAGTGGAGGCTCCCCGCGGAGCTCGCCCCTCTGAGGCCAGCCCTGCTGCTTTCCTGGGCTTGCCTGCTGCGCCTCCGAGGCGCGCCTGCGTCTGGGGTCGGAGCGGCAGGCCGGAAGCACGCGGCAAATCTCTCGAGGGGCCTCCGCCTTGCCTCTGGGCGCCTCCCGAGAACTTGCCATCGCTCGGGCGTCCATCTCGAGTGCATTTTTCGGTTTCGTGCGTGTTTTTTTTGTTGCTCGATGGTCCAGGATGGTGCTCGATGGCTCTCGCCGAGAAAAAAATGCACACGTCCGAGCGATATCGAGCGATGCCAGGAGAACCTCCCGAGGCCGCCCCCCCCCCCTTCCCCCGTACACCTTCGACGCCCACGGCGGCGGCAGAAGCGGAAGCCACCGCGAGACCCAAAACCCGAGCGAGCCCGAGGGAAGCGACGACGACACCGCTGGAAACCGAGCGAAGCCGACGGGCAGCGAGACAGAGACCGAACCGAGTGACGCCGAGACCGACCGCGAGACCGCAGCCGAGCGAAACCGACGGGCAGGGACCGGCGCAGGAGGGCGCAGGAGGGCGCAGCAGGCGACCGAGCCGAGCCGACCGAGTGCGGCTGGCCGCGACGCAGCTGGCCGAGCCGAGTCGCGAACAACCTCGTGGTACGCGCCGCGGTCCACTCGTGGATCCCTCAAGACATGCACATAAAAGGAGGGAGGGAGAGGAGGAAGGGAAGGGAGGATGCAGGGGAGGGCGGGCTACCTGCCCTGCGCGGCCCGCCTGGCCCGCAGCCCGGGCACCCAGGACCCTGCTCCGCACTGCGCCACGGGGCCGGCACTCTGTCTGTCTGTGTCTTTGTCCAGCGCCTCCCCTTCGTGCACTCGCCTGGCTTGACCGCTCGGTGAATCGCCGAAGGCAAGGGTTTTGTCCACGCTCCCCGAAAATGTGGCGAGCTGAGGCAACGGTAGCTCAAGATCGGTGTCCGGACCCGCTCTTGGGGTTCAAACGCGTCCAGCCGCTGTGTTCAGCCGTGGCGACGAGGTTTCCCCATAAAGGTCAATGATTTTTGTCTCTATTTGCCCTCCTGTGAAATTCGCTTTTCGTGTGTCCCGCCAGTGTCCGTCGACCGAGGTCGGAATGGCACCGCGAAGGAAGGCAAACAGACGCAGAGAGCCCGCGCGCGCCGGCGCTCCTGCAGCCTCCGCACGGCGGCGGTCAGCTCCCTGTGGCGGCTTGTCGGGCCCTCGTCATCAGGCTCGGTCATGGCGACGCGCCCCCCTGCTGCTGCTACTGCTTCTCCTCCTCCTCCTCCTTCTCCTCCTCCTCCTCCTCCTCCTCCTCCTCCTCCTCCTCCTCTTGCTCTTTCGTGCCACCTGGTCCTCCTGGTCCTCCTGCTCTCCTCCTCCTTCTCCTCCTCCTTCTCCTCCCCCTCGTAGCCCCTTTCCCCCGTCCTCCTCCTCTGCCTCACACCTCGCTGCTGCTGATCCTTACCCCCTTCTCCTCCTCATATTCTCATCCCTTCCCGCCTCCTCCAAATCCTCCTCGTCCTCGTCCTCGCTCTAATCGTCGTCGTCGTCGTCGTCGTCTTCTTCCTCCTCCTCTTCCTCCTCCTCCTCCTCCTCCTCTCAATGCCCAAGCCCGCGCCCAGGCGCGCGCGCGCCGGGGCGGTAGGCTGGCCTCAGCCACCGACCTCTGCAAAGTCGGTGCCGATGCATGGCTGCTTGGTGACGGGCGAAATG